AAGACAACTTCATGGAGTTCTTCCACAGTGACGACGACGACTACACTTCTGGAGTTTCGAGAAACGCGATTAAAACGGCCTGCTATGTATTAAGACTTTCTGATAAACGATCCATAATCAATTCTGTTATTTAATGTACATGTTATTTATTGTTATTTTGTAAATAAAATGTAGAATGAAAATGTTGTGTTATTTTGTATATGCTCATGGGTATGCTTTTTCAATGGGGATAACTCTAACTTTATTCATGTGACAAAGTCAAACAAAATGGCTTCCTATTACGAAGGACGACACAATATGAACCTGTAACGAGAAAATGGAAGGAATTAACCATGGAAACTATAATAAATAATCATAAATAATCATGTTTGGTTGAGGAAACATCATAGGAAAAAGAACGATAATATCAGGTATGCTTGGCCTTTAAGAACACAATTCAAGGAGATATGTTATGAATTGTCGGAAGGAAAAAAGTCTATCTATAGTAATGTCCGCACCCCCTTTTTTGGATTGATTTTCGGTGAAAAAAAGTGCGGACATTACATGGGTTTTTACGGTACTCATCGTGTTGTGCGGTTTGGGTCTAAAGGATTAAACAGGCACCAAGAAAGTTACGGTCCTACAAAATTGGAACTGCTTGGACTAGTATACAGTGTTTTGGACAACGTCACCTACCTCCGCGGCCGACACTTTACAGTGGAATGTGATCATCAGGCCTCCAGCCTCTTTTCCAGAAACAGCTAAAAGGTGCTATCTACGAGAGATGGATTGCTATTCTTCAGGAGTTTACCTTCAACATTGTGTACAAACCTGCAGCTAAGATGGTTGTTCCTGATGCCTTTTCACGTTGCCACCCATTCCCATTAGTAGGCACTATGGATTCGAGTCCAGCAGAAGATGACCTGAACTTTCCCTTTGTTGATGATACCACCCCTAAACCAATTACGTTACCTTCTGGCCAAACACTTGCATCACTACTACAGGGAGAAAAGACAGATGCTCAAGTGAATAATGTCACAGTGTTACCTTCTACCATTCAGTTGGACCCTAACAAGGATTACGATGCTGATACTGAGGATAATGTATTTTCAAACGTCAAACTCACACATCGTCGAAGGAAGATCGTTTCCCGGAAATATTTATCGCAGACGTTTAAGGCCAAAGTGTTAGACACATCGGTTGAAAATGCTAAGCCCATTTATGACAGTTCCGAATCTTGTACCCGACAAGATACATTATGCATTGTCAGGCAACATCAGGATCTTGCCTCGAGTTCCAGCAATGTGTCTGATCAAGAACATGTTCCTAGAGACAATTCTACACTGGACTTACAACAGTACACTGCTAGTGATGAATCTAGTGTTTGTGCAGAAGACAACCCCTATATACAGGACACCGATGTTGACAAGTCTAGGGATGATTTATCTGACAACCCCTATATACAGGACACCGATGTTGACAAGTCTAGAGATGATTTATCTGACAACCCCTATATACAGGACACCGATGTTGACAAGTCTAGGGATGATTTATCTGACAACCCCTATGTACAGAATACCGATGCTGACAAGTGTAAAAATGATTTACCAGACAACCCTTATATACAGGATACTGCCAGTGATCCGACAGAAAATCCACCATTAGTATCGGATGTTAAACAGGCTGAGTTTTTCAAAGTGACTGATTTTAGTGTTGAGCACATTTCCAGTTTGCAACGAGCCGATCCACACTTTCAGCCTCTTATCACATATTTACTCAGTGGTGACCTTCCCGCGTCGCAGAAAGATGCCCGTCGTATCCTCTTGGAAAGCTCAGATTATGTGCTCATAGACTCATTACTATTCCATTCTCGTGTGGCTAAATCTAAACGAACCAAGAATATGTGTCATTACCAACTGGTACTACCAGAACCGTTGATACCTACTATTCTCCAGTTGTATCATGATTCTACCTTAGTTTGCCACGGTGGAATACAAGACATGTTGGACCGTGTCAGAGAACATTACTATTTCCCAAGACTTTCTGTACTTGTGAGCGACTATGTACGTTCATGTGTTGCGTGCCAACAAAGGAAATTAGGACCTTCAGCTACAAGGAACAGCATTACTGCCTACCCTACCCCTAACAAACCATTCCAGGTTTGGGAAATTGATCTATATGGACCCCTCCCCGTTTCATCATCAGGGAAATCCTACATTTTCACAGCCGTTGACATGTTCTCCAAATACTTATTCACTGTTGCTATTGCTAATTCTGATGCTCTAACTGTTGGAAGTGCTATTTTTCAATTAGTTTCAAATTTTGGCGTCTGTGATACCTTTGTCTCCGATCAGGGATCTGAATTTACCGCTAAAGTTACCAAAGAAATTTGTCGTCTACTGCAAATCCATCAAGACTTCACTCCCAGTTATGTGCACCATTGTTTGGGAGCTTGTGAGCGCACACATCGCGTTCTTGCCACCAAACTGACACCTTTCATGAACACTGCCAAAGATAACTGGGAAGAAATATTGCCTGCCATTGTATTTTCAATGAACAGTGCAGTCAACTCAACATCCGGATACTCACCATTTGAGATCATCTTTGGCCAGCGTCCTGCATTTCCTCTCAACAATATCACAGCTACTTTGGACAACATTCCTATCGACATCCATACATATGTTGATATGGTTTGCAAGAAGATGGAGGTCATTCGTACAATTATGCTCGATAATGTCACCAAGTCTCAAACCAGGATGATGGATCAAGCTAATACAAAGGCTCGACCTCTTCAACTCGATGTTGGTGATTATGTGTATCTGTACAAACAACCAACAGGAACAGGACAAAAGCTACAAAACCTTTATAAAGGAGTTTATGTTATTCATGAAAAACTTTCTGAGCACATGGTAATGATTCGTGATCCTCAGACCAACAAGGTTGGATCAAAACCTGTACATGTAGACAGACTAAAATGTGCTTATGTGCGTGCTCCCACCCCAACAGACTATTTCCATATCACATCCACTGTCAAAGTTGACTCTGCCGTCCAAACTGAGGATGTTGTGCTGGATCTTCCTGACAAGCATGAAAGTGACTCGCATCTTTCAACTATTGCGGAATTTTCTTTGGCCGATTCCTCGCACATCAAAGATTCTCAACTTCCTCCTGACTTTTCAGAATTGGATCAGGGAATGAAATCTGAAACTGTTGACCATTCTGGTCCGCCTGTTGGTGTATTACCACGCGCTCGTCGTGTCATAAAGAAACCTGTACGGTTTCGTGATTCCAGCAATGTGGATCTTTGTTCATCATCATCTTCCTCCAGTGACCATCATTACTACAAGATTAAACGAGTTTTAGCTCAGAGAGGGACTGGACTTGACATAAAATACCTTGTTCACTTCGTTGGAGAGCCCTCGCAAAATGCTCGTTGGGTCCGATTGGCAGATTTGAACCCGGCCGCTATTCGAGCAATGTCTAAGAAACCACCAAAGGTTGTTCAGTGACATTCGATTTTATGACAATATATAGGATGTGTCTATTAACAATGTTTCATTATTCATTGATATTGAATTTTGATAGGTACTGAATTTTGATATGTGCTACAACTATTTTGATATTGTTACACTAGGATTACCCCTACATTTTATGATGACATGCATACCTTCATTTTCATGAATGGAATATGTGCTTAAGGAATGAATAATTCTTTTTTTTATTTTTTTCCTACCATGTACAAGAATGCATTATCATTTGTGGGTTTTTTTTTTTTTTTTTTCTCTCCACGTAAATTGTCATCGCTACTGAGTTTTTCTAAAGAATTCATCTGATGGCAAATAATGTATGTTTCCACAGAGCTATAATGTTCCTACCAAGATTTCCAAAATTTTTGTATAATTTCTTTATTATATAATCTTAATGCCTTTATAAGCAACATGCAATTTAGATGTCTTGCTAGTATGATCCCACTACAATATTGATTATTTTCAATTTAACATGCTTATGCATTCTACTCAAACATTTAGATGCATTGCATGGGTATCATTTTAGAGTAATAAGTGTTCTTTTGTTTCATAAATGAAGTTTTTTTTGAAAAAAAAAAATTAGCATAGTGAACCATTTTGTAATCTTTAATGATGTCATGCTGTTTACAAACTTTTATTGTTCACCGAGAATCCATTGTGATGCATATATAATACTTCAAATCAAATGTTAATCTTTGCATGTGGTAGAGTAGAAGTGGAAATTTCAGAATAAGCTGTTGCTTGGTAGGAGGATGTTTACCATGATGATATAATACAGTATTCTTTATATACCAGTTGTGAGATCAGGCTTGCTTAGTGAATTATACTTCTTGTATACCATTATGATTTATGCCAGAAAATGAATATGACATCAAAGATGTTGAGTAAAGCTGACTAATTGTCCAGGCAGCGTATGTGTGAGAGTATGTATACCTTCAGCGCTGGGGTAATTTTGTAAGTGTTTTGAATGAAATGATGGTTTTGCATAATTTCTCAATTTTCCCCATCTATATCTTGATAACTTAAAACATAGTGAGTGCATTATTTGTACTTTCTACTGGTTTGTAGGATAACCATGCAGCTGTTACAGCTGGTTCCTGCTTATAATTCTTAATGGATACTTGAAGAAATTGTTATCATGCATCAAATGTATTATCTAAGTTGATCTTGTGGTATTTTTCCTATTTTTGCTTCCTCATGTAGATTGTTCATTATTGATTTGAATGATGTTTCTTCTTTCCTGCATTTCATCGCCAGTCATAAAATTTGTATTCCTCAAATTTTTCAGTTGGGGGCGGGATGTAGTGTATATGGCTGTATACTGGTGATGAAATGTAGGCAAGTCGAATTCCGGAACATATGCCCGTCTCCGGGTCCTTTATGAGTATTAGGTGACACCTGTGAAAATTTGTAAAAAAAACTTCCGGTGAAAAATAAAATGGAGCACGTGGTTAAATGTGATGTGTGCTGGTCTTCTCTACAATTTTAATTACTTTAAATACAAACATTACAGTATGCATCAATGGCTGATTTTTCATGTTGACATCCCCAGTCTGTGGCCTTGCTTCTAAATTTTAAACTTTCTGGATAGCAAACTGACTTGATGACACTTAGCGATGGCTTCTCTGGATTGGTATGGCAAACAGCATGAAGACGGGACGCAGTGATTCTCCCACTCCTGAACCGAAACCAATCTTTACTGCTTGCCTGACGGCGAGTTCTCTCCTCCACAGCTGCTGCCTGGGATGCTGTTACTATGATGTCATCGAAGATGATGTCACACTGGTTGTGAAGTTCATCTTCAGTCATTCCAACATACTCCTCATTGTACAACTCTGAGAGCACTTTGGGAAGATGTACACTCAGTGAGGCAGGTTTGAAGTGTTCAGCATAGCCTGGCATCAGAGACAACAATACAGACTTTGACTGGCTCTCATGTAACCTCCGCAGGAAGCCATTCACTTCATCTTTGGAAGGGGTTGGTACATCATTCCTACGAGCTGCCCTCAGGGTTGGAGTTGTTGGAGTTGGTGGAGTTGTGATACTCTCGTCTAGTCTGCACTTTTTTGTAGAGGCTGAGGTGAAATCGATATCTCTGACTTCATCGTATGTAACCTTTTGTATCCCTGATGGAAGCAGCCAGTAAGCAGGGGACTGTGTCACTGTCTTAGAATTGCGGATCTTCACTGCAGCCTCTATCCAGAACAGCAATGCTCCAACATGGGTGCAGGTTTCCCCCAAGCCAGCCATGCATGTACAGTGTGCAGCAAGAATTGTTCCATCGGAATTGGCTATGACCCATGGTTGAAGTGGCGCTTCATTCATCCTCTGGGAGTGGCGTACCTAAAACAAATACATTAAACTCATATAAAGGATATATTGAAATGAAAACAGGATATTGATTTTTCAATTAAGCTAGCACACTGCTACCTCATATTCAGGGCAGATAATTCATACATCAAGAATAAAATACAGAAAATGTCTGAGATATGAATGCTGCCGCCGCCCCCATGTGAATTAAAAGTAAAAAGGAAATAAAAGAGGATCAATTTGATTTCACGACATGACGGCCATGGGTAAAATTATGGCAGGGATATAAGAAGAAAGACTTGCTCTAGAACTCCCTCCAAAAAAAAAATAAAAATAGATAGATAATAAATAAGTAATTAAACAAAATTAATTAAATGAAAGATTTGCAGTATTTCTCACAGTCCATTACATACTTGTATGAGGACAAAATTAAATAGATAAACTCATTAAGTTTAAAATAGTATGATAATGTTTTTTTTATATAGGCCTATATAATTTAGCACCCTTTCATACTAGGCCCACCAAAATTTCTTTATTGAAAATACTTTAACACTAGATTCTATTCAATCAAGCCTACTTTTTGTTATAACATTATACTTCATCTGAATTCTAGTCTTAATATCACAATATTTTTTCTCATTTTTTTATTTGTAACTTCTGGCATAATCTACGGTTATAACACAGAGTATGTTATACATCTGGTCAAGTTCAGTTAACTCAAGTTACTCATGCCTACGCTTTACATGGGTCATTTTACTAGGACAGTGTAAACATTGTCGTTTGAAGATCGTATTTATAAACGGGCAGCCTACAGTAGGGGGGGTTTAGTTTTGATTATTTCTAGGCTCGGTCATAAACGGAACAATGACGTTATAAGCCCCCATTAATCGATCAAATCAAGCATAAGTTATGATCAGGACAGTACAGTAAGTAGTACTACACACCTTTGCAGACATCAGAATGTTCTTCGTAACGAACGATGAAATGTGGCCGACATCCTTCACCCAACCGCAAAAAAACTGGTTGTAGGATTCCAGGGACTTGTAAGCTTTCAAATCCTGCAATGTGTAGGCACTCTGAGTGTGGACCAAGTAATTAACGATGTCTGGGTACGTCACATCTGGAAGACCATCAGGATCTGAACGCCAGTCGCTTTTCTTCACTTCATACGGATCTAAATGGTCTACTAGTTTAATTTTCTCTCTATAACGTGCCAAAGTAATCGGGTCAAGTCTGTCTGTATAGCTAACCTTGATTGGCTGTTCTGGAGGGCTTTTCTGCGACGTCATTGTTAGCGATGACTCATGCAAATTGATATTTAAATATGAACTGCTTGACCCACAAGATGGCGGCGCTAATTCAAAGCCCCGGATGTTGTGACGTCAGCGAATACTATCTATAGGGTGGCTTCCCCAGTGATAGCTGTGGGTAGGGGTAAAAACTCTTGGCCGCCAGAGGAGGAGCAGAATATCTTTTCATGTTTGCTAATTTTATATATGTCATATGTTTTTTTTTTTTTATTTTTGTTATTTTTTTTTAATTTTTGTTATATAAGTAAATACCTCTGAGAGGAAATCATGTTGCCACCGAGGAGATGGTGATTATGAAGGTATTGCCCCTTAGCCAAGAACCTGACTAGTGCTAATACGGGTATTTCTGTTCAAAATGGGGGTTTCTGATATCTAGAATGATGAATTTATATATTTTCATTCGACTGTGGTAATAATATTGAGGTACCACTAATAGACTAGTAATGATCTTCATGATAGCCAGTAGTGAAATTCGAACATGGAATGTAATGATTAAGCAGCAGCCATAACTAGTCGGGTTCTTCTATATTGTAAACTGTAGTTCAAATCGTTATAATGTAATGTACACAGTAAAATTGTAACTGTACTCTCTGAACATTTTTCTTGGTTCCAGTTAAACTTGTTGAGATAAAAGTGTAAAAATTTGATTGTTTGGAGATGACAGTAATGGCCCACAGTGTATTAATTCAAATTATACTAATCAAATAATGTACTGTTATATTGGCTGCTAGCCTGAATTATCTGTAACGTAAGCACTAGGAATGATTACCATGAACATTATGTACTTATCTCAGAAAAATGCTCAAAAGATGCTTAAAATATGCGCAATTGTGCTCACCGGTGCTCAACAACCATTACTTTGAATATTTGGTGCTATTCGGAGAAAAATGTTCAAAAGATGCTCAAAATATGCTCAATTGTGCTCATCTGTGCTTAAAGACCATTACTATGTACATCTGCGGCTACTCATAGAAAAATGCTCAAAAGATGCTCACAAATGCTCAATGATGATGAACATGCTTAGGGATGCCAAAAACTTTCCCCACAGTGGAGAGAATGTAAATTGGGTCAACGGCCTGAAGAGATCAGGAGTTGTCGTTATTGAAAGTGTTCAGAAACTGAGTTAACTGCACCTTGAGAACATCTGCTTAAAATTGTAAATTTTATGGTGCTTCCCAGAACTTTAAACATTCCGGACAAACAACCATGTGAAGACAAGGACTGTCATGACCCATTATTTTATGGGAAGCACATATTTGTAATATTGAATACTTACTGCTAAAGTTTGGCAATAATTAATTGTTGACGCTCCAGGAGTTGCACCAAAGTAGGAAAAATCCGATTATACAGTTGTGACTCTTAACTAAATTACAATTGAGCAAGACTTTATATAAGTGACATTTAGATACCAACCAATTTATCTTTAGTAGATTGTAATTTAAAATTGTACAAGCAATTATAGTAATAAAGACAAGACTTGGGCCGAGTCATCTGGAAATTGAGATTATGTGTAATAATGCCAATATTTTTGTATTGTAATTTTGAACTTCATGCTATAGGGGCCTGCCTCCATTGGGTATTATTATCAAATGGTGAAATTTTTTCGTATGTAAAGACATGAAATGTCATTCAAATTTATTGGCCAGTGAGGAAATGATGGTACTTAATCAAATGCAATAGTTCATTATTACTGTCTTGTGAGTCGAGTTGGATGTGGCAATTGATAGCACATGGCTAATCTTTTAATTTTAAGTTCAGTTCTGAGAAGTTTGGGCGGCTTTGGCCCACCTGGTTTGTCCTGTGAACCACGTATTGTTTCAACAGCAATCCATGTGGAACCATCGTTGGCCAGCCTGGTGATACATTACCATTATGGGTGACAAACCTTAACTAGGTCAAATGTCAAGGTCGGGGTTTATGTCTTTCACTGGTGGAATTGTGGCAAGACATCATGAGATAGAAAGGATCAGAGGTAAAGGGGTCAAGGTCACTAGGTCAAAGGTTGATATTGCCGAGTAAAGGTCAAGGTCAGGGTCGATGTCGTTCACTGGTGGAATTGTAAGACATCCTGAGAGGAAATGAGTCATAGTCAGTCGAGTCCAAGGTCATTGGACCAAAGGTCAATATTAGCAGGACAAAGGTCATTACTTAACATAGAAATATTTCACGGATTTTGAAACAGTAAGTTGAGTCTCGGCTACTCAGTCGTAGTCTGCCCGGGTGGTTGGGGGGTGTGTAGCGACGCGTGGGTCGCTTCGTGTTGTTTTTCCGGAATTTAGTACAACCCTGTCCGAGGAAGCGAGGAACTCTGGGAGAAAAAGTGACGCCACAGCCTCTTCCTTTGGAGGCCAAGACATGTTAGGTCGGTATTGAAATTCGGGCAGGGTAATCTATTAGATTTTTGTGTTGTTAGCGCCCATCTCTTCCCTAAAATGTTATAAAATGGTTTACTAAACATCAGTTGCCACCTACAACCCGATATGTTTGATTTCTGACGGTGTATTTTGGTATATTTTTCAACTTATGCTGACTTAAGTTATGGCTGGAACCTTGTGTCGTGATTGAGGGGAACATTCGCTAGCTGTTGAAATTTTGTTAAATAGTGGATAATTCGAGAATTGGTATTCTCGGGGAGTAGTTTTCTCTCGTTCGGTGAGGCTGATTTTGTGTGCCCCCCTTGCCAAGACAAACGTAGGAGAAGGCGGTAGTGTTGAGTTGGACTTTGTAAATTTGGAGTCGGTCACGTGGCGGAGATTTGTCCGTTCTGCGAGGTTTGAGACTCGCTCCGAGGAACGGTGTCGGATTCCGTGGGCCGAGAGTTAATTTAGCTAGAGAATTTTGACAACCACGACATTGGTTCCTGCCTGATAGTTATTTTAGATAAAAGTTTGTTTATTTCAGGTGGCTTCTGTACATTGTTAGGGTTAATTAAAAACACTCACTGAGCCGGTTAAATGTCTTTCATGCTAAATTTTACTCTTGTAAAATATATAATAAATTGTTGAATCTGTTTGAACCTTAGTCAGAAAGCTGCGGGGCACACTCCGAAACCGGAGTGAGGGCTGGAATTCACGTGGTATTAGACTAATATACAGTTGAATTATGTAGACTGCTCTGAAATCAGAGTGAAAGGGTTTATTTGCTCTCCATTGGTGTAGTGTCAAATTCTGACCATGTAGCTGATAGTTAGTAGCTATGATGTAGGTTTCTACGGGAGGGGGTTGGTTTTTAGCCCGTCTCGTAGGCAGACCAGTGTACTTTAAAATTTTGGAGTTCAGTAGATAGGTTTAGGCTATTTAATGTAGCCAGTTTTGTTCTAAAAGCAGCAGTATCTGTGGGAGCGCACTGGACCCCAGTTTATTTCACGTTGTCAGGTTTTGTTGTTTTGCTGCTTAGTTTATTTTTTTTGTCGCTGGTTTACATTTTTGTTAGATTTTCTGCTGGCTTTTTACACCTTGGTTGACTGATTTTTACTATGTTAAATTGTTTATTTTTGTTTATACTTTGTTATTGCTCCGGCACTATTCGCTGATATTCCATTGACAATTAAATAGTGGAACTTGAATCTTGGCGTTGTTGTGGTTCTTTCCTAACACTTCGACTAATCAGGAGAAAAGAACCGGAAGGTGTGCCTGGGAGTTGACTGTTGGCCACTGTTTAGTAACTCGATTGTGGCCTTGTACATGTGTACACTTTAAAAATACACAACGCGAAGGCATTTGTGTGGCAAACTCTCATCTCCTGAGCCCGCCTACTATACATGTATCGATTGTAAACAGAAATTGTAATTTAAAAGATAATTCCACCCTGCTACATCGTGCTTTCCCACACTGGAGACAATGAAATTAGACGAAATGTTCCTGAAGGGTAGGGTCGAGTAGTCCGTCTTTCCAGCAACATCGATTGGGACAAAATGTCCTGCAAGAGTAGGTTGAATATTCTGCCTTTCCCGTCCCGCTGTGAGTGAAATCTAGATCTATATGCAAGTTTGCATGTAGAAACACATAATCGCATACTTAAAATGATGAATACTTTACGTACTGCAGAGGTTATCTCGTTTTCGTCTGTGACGAGTTGGTGCAATACGTAATACTAACTTATCGCAGAACGTTTTTAATGAAACCTTGATTGAAGCATAGCTGCGCTACGACGAATTACCGAAAAGACAGTTATTATCAATATTATGTTACAGGGTCGGTTATGGGCAAAACACCACAACAACACCTTCGTAAGTTCTCAACCATTAACCTGGTTTTTTATTGCAGGCGACAAGAGATTAACTCTTGTGTATGGCACAGAGTTATAGGGGAAATCTTGTCTTGTAAATATGACCGGCATCGTACAGGTGAGCGGGTAGTTATACATGAGGTTTACAGATATTCACTCGCACGACTTTACAATTTCTCTGGTCACCTCACTGTCCAGTCAGACAATGACCGGAACAAACAAAAAAGCGCGAAATGGACAAGAGCCAATAAAATAAGACACAAGATTGTGACGTAAGACAAAGACAAAACTGACCAATGACCAAACGATACGATATAAGCAGACGAAAACTAGACTAAACACTTAGACGCATACAGTATAAACGAAACTAATAAATAAGACTAATACAATACTGAGACAATTCAATACAAATATTGAAATTATAGATCCTGCCACAATTACACTAGTTTTAGGGGTGTTGAATGGAACTAAAACCATTCCAATCTCAATTCAAGTCATAATTTATTCAGTCTTTGCTGGCTTTAATGACCTATTGGACGCTAGTTATTATTCCGTAAATCTCTCTTACCGCCATGACTGGCGAGCGTGATCGACAGCTCTAGGCGGTATCAAGACAACTCGTACCCAAAATACAACTGTACCCATGGTGATTTAATTTAAAAAAAAATGATTCCAATTCGGGGCAACTCGTACCCAAATCAGGGTAGTACCAGGTCCTTTACGATTATAATTGTTGGAGAAGATGGAGATGT